TATATATATATATATAAGAAATATTATGAAAAAAATCAAAACATTAAAATAATAATAATAATAATAATAATAATAATAATAATAATAATAATAATAATAATAAAAGAAAATGCAGAAGAGACTGCTGCTCTTTGCTGGTGGAAATGGAGCCGCCAGCAGCTCTCTGAGATGGACATGTGCGCCTTATTAAAGGTCAAGGTTCTTGTAAACCATTAAATGTACGTTCTGGTACAAGAATTTTGTTCATGTTCATACATCACAATGAATAGGTGAAAATATTTGAGATTATTATTATGTTTTGTTAGACGTTGTTTATATAGTATAAACTCTTGGTATGTTAAAAAATTGTTTTATATCATGTATGCAGCAAGGCACAAAACACTTAATTGAATTAAGGCTTCCCCCTCCCCTCCTAAACGTTAAGAACTAGCCTGAAACGTAACCACATACTAACTACAGGTACACTTTTTCGGCTACGAAATGAAGGAAAATACTGTATATCTTCGAACACTATGACTAATCTCTTTGCAAGGGACAGCTTTTCTGGTCTCAACGGTGTCCTCTAAAACAGGGTTCCTAATAATGCTTGCAACTAAATTGCAGCATTTGTAATTATTTTGATGGTATTGTAGCTTATTGAGTCCTGTGTCAACGTGCTGGTTACCTCATTCCGTGATGAAATCCTCAGAGAGTGTGCGCCTATGATCAAAACCAATGAAACTGTCAGTAAGTACAATCTATATTTTATTATTGTAAAAATAACCATTCAACCATGTATTGTTACTCACATAATATGAAAAACCCATCAAATACATAATCAGTTGGTATATGAAGAAACAGTTTATTGATATATTTTTTCAAGTATTTTACTGAGATTAATCATTGTTATATTTTATAATTTTAAAATATATTTAAATTTTATTGTTACTAACTAAATATTAAAAAAACATCATCAAAAATTTAACCCAAGCTTGCTCTACTAACTGAACTACTGTATGAGACCCATATATTCCCCCAGTTCTATTTACTGAAGAGACTCAATATTTCTCAATATGTAATTGACATATCTTTGTATAGAGAATCAACTTTCACTGTCAATTATATTGATGATAATTATATATAATTAATCATTTTACAGGTATGTGTTTTTTGGAATAAATAATTTTAATTAACAATAGTATTTGCATAAATATTTAAAAATAATAGCCATTAAAATGATTGAATGTATCTGGTAAAATGTATTATTCAAGATGTTTCATAATAATTATATTTAACCAAAGATGATGAGGAAGGATCAAATGTAATAATGTTTATTATTCTTCTAGAACTAAACCTAATGTTTCGTTTAATGGATCGTGTTAGCGATGGAATCAACCCAATGCTACAAGATCTTGAGCAGCACATCATACATTCAGGTCTTGCCGACATGGTAGCTGCCGCGGACGTCATCACAACCGTATGTACGCTTTTTATATTACAAACGTTTTCTTTACATTCCAATTCATATCCATCAACCAGTGGCGTATCTAGAAGTCTTGAAGTGGGGGTGCTGATTTTTAACTACTTGACTGTGATTTCGGGGGTGGGGGGGCACACAAGTAATTCTTGGAGGTGCGTGCACCCATAGCGTGTACCCTCGACTAGATATCAATCAATCAATTTATCAATACTGTAAGTTTATTTTCACTTGCAAATCTTACATTAATAATGAGTGGCATAAGCAAATAAACAAGGCTTGTAAACATTGCATGCAATCATACTAAAAATATTAGCAAATAGCATAAATATATGGATAATCCTAACACTATAATTATATGACTGTAAAAAATTGTAATTGTTATTATTATTTACTTGTTAGTTTTCATTTTGCTGTTAATAAGAATTTTTGTAATTGCATCATATTATAGGAGTGACGCAGGCTCGCATTATAATAAATCATATTCTTGTTAATTTTATTATTTTGTTTTATTAATATTTAGTTATTTAAATTTAATATTTAAATATTTAATTAGACAAAAAAAACGTAAGAAAATAAATGATTTTGAAAATAGAAGCCGTTAATTTCAAACATTTTGGAGACAATACAGTGAAATGCCTGCATATCTGCTGAGTATGTTTGCATACCATATCTTTTGTGCGAGTACACTAATTATAGAGGTTATGCCTAGTAATGAAATTATCTTGATTTTTAATATTATTTTAATTAATGATATTATTATTGTTAGTAACAATATTATTAGTTTAATGTGTTTATTTTTTTAATTATCAGGATTCGGAGAAGTATGTAGAGCAGTTGTTAAAGCTTTTCAATCGATTTAGTACGTTAGTGAAAGAAGCATTTAACGATGACCCAAGATTTCTTACTGCTAGGGATAAAGTAAGTCAAATATATCTGTAATATACCTGTCTTTTTATATTTAATTCTTCTTTTTTTATAATAAATAATGATGAATTACACAAAAGTTAATAATTGCTGTTTTGTATTTGTTTCTTATAGGCATATAAACATGTTGTAAATGACACACAAGTGTTTAGACTAGAATTACCTACAAAGAGTAAATCGTAAGTCAATTGTTAAATTCTCAGTGTTTGTCACAATAGTGTCAAGTTTAGTTTATTGTCAAGTAAAATGTATATGAAATTTATTTTGGTATTCAATTCAGTAACAGTTTAATTATTAATCAGTTATAGGTTTAGTAAAATCAGTCTGTCAGTTATTCAATTTACTCATCATCAAATTTCTGTATTGGCCTGAGTCTCCACTGGCTAAAACCAGGCCCCCTCCATCCCCCACCCTTAAAGGACACGGAATGTTTTTTTGACCAACACCAGAGGCCCCAAGAATGGGCCCTTTAATGAGCAGAACATGTAACAAGATTTCAAAATTACCTCATCGGTATGAAGGTTTCCTCACCGTATACAAGTTTCAAATTTCTATTGAATGTCATAATTTGGACACAAAGTCGTTTTTGATTTCTTTAAGCCACTGGCCCATCGAATAAAAACACACGTTTTTCATGCTGCACCATAAATTATCAGGGAGAACAAAAATATAAAAAGACAAATGTACCATAGAGTATTATACTTAGAGTAAAATCAGTTTTCTTCTACAAAAGCAGAAAGAAATAACATTTTTGCTATATTATTTTGACTACGCCCATCTTATATATTTCTGCTGTGTTTGATTGTTGTAGTAATATTTTCCCAAATAAATCTCACAAAGATCACCATAAACTTCTCTATTATCATTATGTAACTGCACCTTGAAGCCAATAAATATCTTATTATTATACAAGTCATTTTAAACTTGGGAAATATTTTAAAGAATATTTTGTTTTTCAGTGTAAGCAGTAAAACACAGCCTGAATCCAAATGTCCAGAACTGTTAGCCAACTATTGTGATATGCTTCTAAGGAAGACACAAGTTAGCAAAAAGCTTACCTCAGATGAAATTGAATCTAAGCTGAAAAATGTGGTAAGTAAATATTAACAGTAGATTTAATGAACACTGATTCCTGATGATGACATAATTAATGTCGAAATATTGAATCCCAACACGATGGCGTGTATTTCAATACTTGGAGTATGTATTATACTTTCTTATCTGCTAAACTTTCTTTTAAAGGCTTACATACACAAGGACACAAGCAAGAACATTGGTCTTTTATTCGTTCATTTTTTAAACTGGTTTAATTTTACATTGTTGCTCTAAGTTACTTTTCTTTGTTCTTCAGTATTTAATAGGCCTAACTGTTAAGCCTTTTGGTTTTTTTTAATTTTAATTTTGTTTTCATTGATACTTTTTTTTGTTCCACAGTATTTAATAGGCCTAATTGTTAAGACTTTTGTTTTTTGTTTAATCACTGTTTAGTTTACGTAGATACTTTTTTAAGCCTTGTCTAAATTGATTATGTTTCTTTAATAAGAGAAATTTGTTCATTTTTTTTTTTTTTTTTTTTTTGTTTTTTTTGCCTTTCTTAGTTTGAGATTGACTGCACCATTTGATTGTGTGTTGCCACTGTTATAAAAGTGAAATGTTGAATAAATTATAATTATATTATATTATTATTCATTTCAACCATTTAATTAAAATTTACACATATGAACATGAAAATACTTAACACCTTAGCAGTGTCTTGTTGATTTCTCAAAAGTGGGCAATGCCCATCTGTCTTGAAGCCCTCCAGTACCAACCAAAGAAACAAAAATATTTAACAAACAAATTATTAAAATTATCATTTGCAAAGCACTTATAAAAACTTTGTATAAAAATATTAATATTTTTATAATATTTAATATTTTTGTATAAAAGCATGCAGATGAAAATATGTAACCAAATGTAGCAACAGCAATGTTAACAAACGTTTGTTTGCCTTTGCTTCATTTACAACCAGCTCCTGGTGCTAAAGTATGTACAAAACAAAGATGTGTTTATGAGGTACCACAAAGCTCACCTAACCCGACGACTTATCCTGGACACATCAGCTGACAGCGAGAAGGAAGAAAACATGGTGGAATGGCTCAGGGTATGTTATATTCCTCCGGGTTGAAGTTTAAAAGAGTGGATAACAGAGGGGTCCAAGTAGTCCAATCCGATGACTTTTTTTTCTTAGCTGCACCGATCAAGATGTGGATATTTTTTTCACTATTAATCATTTTAAATATAAAATGTACCTGTTTTGCTTGTTTAGTTCATTAATATATTTACCTGTAGTTAATAACGTTTCCATTTCCATTCAAATGAAATAATATTTTTTTCTTGTTTTATCAGTTGATTTATTAACTTGATTGATTAAATAAACTTTAAATAGCTTAGTATCATCATATGGACGAAGTTATTAGAGGAAAGTCTTACCAAACATCATAAGTGAATTTTATTATATTGTTGTTGTTACTGTTGTCCTCGTATATAGTACAGTTATCAAAAGGCTGTCTCCACACTCTCAAATTTTCTTTGTCAAAAAACTGTTGTATGCCCATATATAGTCATGACATGCCTATATATGGTCATGATGTGATGTCATCATGACCATATTTAGGCATGTCACATGTTTTTGTCAAATAAAACTCATAGTCTGGACAGGACTTAATGTTATTGTTGTTATTTTGTTAATTTTTTATCAGGAGGTGGGCATGCCTGCAGATTATGTTAATAAGCTCGCCAGGATGTTCCAAGATATCAAAGTGAGTGAGGACATGAATCAGTCGTTCAAGGAGATGCATAGGAACAACACAGGCAATGTGTCTGGTGAGTACATTGCTGTCTCTAATTGGCTGGACTTGTGAAAAGGCATAGAATTGACACATGATGTTTTACTTTCAAAAAAATATTGTCTCCTAGAATTTTCATTCTAACAAATTTGAATGAAGAATAGTTTATTATTATTATTATTATTTAATATTATATATGTATGTATATATATATATATATGTATATATATATAACATCAACATTAAGATCCTGAATGCTGGTGCATGGATAAAATTTGTATATATATATATCATATTTATTTTTTATTATTTTTATTTTAGATAACATCAACATTAAGATCCTGAATGCTGGTGCATGGATGAGGAGTAGTGAAAGGGTCCCAGTCTCATTGCCAGTTGAACTGGAGGACTTTATTCCAGAAGTGGAGGAATTTTACCGCAATACTCACAATGGAAGGAAACTACAGTGGCATCATCTAATGTCCAATGGATCTGTAAGTTAAGATTGTAATCATAATCATCATCATCATTATTATTATTAACATCATCATAATCACCATCATAAGTATCATCATCTCTATTATCATCATTATAATCATCAACTTCATTATCATTATTACCATTATCATTATCATCACCATTATCATCAGTATTATCAACGTTATATAGTGGTTTGAAAAAGAAATTATCCCTATCTAAATATGAACCCAAAACTTCCTACTGACTTGTTTCTTTAATGGTATTCTTGGAATATTGCATAACATACAATATAGAGAGAAATACCATTTAAGCCATTGTTGGCAAAATAATATCAAATTTTTCTAATGTTCAATTTATCGAGTAAGAGAATATACATTATTGATTTTTTTTTTTTAAATAATGTTTTTATTTTATGAAACAGATTACGTTTAGGAATCAAGTTGGTATTTTCGATATTGAGGTAACAACGTTTCAAATGGCCGTATTATTTGCATGGAATCAACGTCCATTGGAAAAGATATCATTTGAAAATCTGAAACTTGCTACTGAACTACCAGAGAGTGAGCTAAGGAAGACACTATGGGTAAGCTAAGCTACATCTTCTTTTATTCATTTTTTTATGATTTCATTTTTTTTTTATCATTAACACTCTGACCGCCAGGGGTTTGAAAAAATAGTATCAGCCACCGCCAGACTTTTAGGCAAATTTTAACACTTTTCCAAAGCTCATTGAGAGTGCGTATGTGATCAGATTGACATGTAGTGAATATTACAATAACTACAAACATTTTAGCTTTACAATGATACCAAACACTTTGATTTCGTGAAAGGAAATCAATACCGCTCTACGCTAATGTAAACAAACAAATAGTGAAATACTTAATAGTCCAGACTGAATATAGTGTTCAAATCGTTAGTACATGTCGTTAATTACCACATCTATCTTATTCTGTAAAAAAACCTGAAACACAGAGATCTCCGTGTTTGGCGGTCAATCGTTGCGTTACCACACACGTTTGAATCAACTCATTATAAAGTTTATATTTGCAGTGTGTAAACTCAGGAACATTGAAATCAAAGCAAGGATGTCATTATAAATCCACTAAAGCCTTTTCCAGACTATCAGATTGCTGCTGTATGCCCATATATAGTCATGACATGCCTATATATGGTTATGATGTGATGTCATCATGACCTTATTTAGGCATGTCACATGTAAAGTGTAAATTTTGATAGTCTGACCAAGGGTTAAGATTGAAAGAGAGACAGACAAATTTGTAGTAGAGCAAAAAGTTGATTTTTAATTTTTTTGAAAATTTTCTCTGCTTTTATTTCAGTCACTAATTGCATTTGCAAAGCTTAGAAGACAGGTTGTGCAATGTTGTCCAGAAGCAAAGTCACCAAAGGATTTTACAGAAAGCACGATGTTTTGGGTGAATCAAGAGTTTGCTGTAATGTGAGTATAAATAAGTTTTCACATCAGTCAATAATTAATCGGTCAATCAACTCATCAATCAATCAGTCAAGCCAATCAATCAATTCATAAAAACAAGATGTAAAGCAGAAGTGATAAATTGAAATCCATCCATTTGGACAGCCACCAACAATCAGCAGATGACATCGCATCATGTAGCACCCACAGGAAGCAGGGTTTGATTTGTCGGCCGATGGTCGTACAAGGCAGTGAGTGGCCAGTTTATGCCTTTGTAGGCAGTTTTTCTTGAAACACATTCAAATCTTTAAAATTTTCAATACTATGTTTAGTAGTAATTGCTGTTATGAACAGCCTTTCATAACTCTGTAATATAAAGAATTCCTTGCATCTCATTTTAATGATTGCCCTCAAGAAGTTTTTTGCACAGTCGCTGACATTATGTTATTAATATATATGTAGAATAGTGACATCAGCACAAATTATTTACACCTGAACAACACACAGACTTACCCCCTTATTTGATTTACAAAGTTTGTCTTCTTCCCACTTACAGAAAAAATGGCAAGGTACAGAAAAGAGGTAAAATCAATCTAATTGGTCGACTGCAGCTGTCGTCTGAACGAAGTGGAGAGGAAGAGAAAGAAAGCATAGTTCAACTCAGGATTCTTAGGACACAGGTAAACAAGAAGGATTCAATATTTAATTGTGAGGCAGAAAAAAAAAAAAAAAACAGTCATCAGAAATCAACTTTGTTTTTAATTCCTTGAAATTCATGTACATTGTGTGTACTGTACATTCCTGATGATGACATATTAATGTCGAAATATTGAATCCCGACACGATGGCATGTATTTCGATACTTGGAGTATGTATTATACTATATTATCTGAGATTAATCAGTGGACCTTTCGGTACTGTACTATCTCGAAAAATAGCCAATGCTATCTTGAAGAGGGGGCTTCAATTCGAGATAGAGTTTTTTTCGAAATAAGGCCCATTGGGCTTCAATTTTGAGTTTTACTGTATGATTGAAGTTTGTATAAACATTTATGGGTTGGGTTCGGTGGTTTATATCCTAATAAGAGGTGAAGAACTAACTTGCTATCAGATAATTAATAAATGAAAGATGTTAATTTGTTTTTTTTTCCTTATATTTTCTTACAGGAAGCAATAGTAAAGATTATGAAGATGCGAAAGACAATAAGCAATGCACAGTTGCAAACGGAATTAGTAGAAATTTTAAAGAACATGTTCTTGCCTCAAAAGAAAATGATAAAGGAACAAATTGAGTGGCTTATCGAGCATAAGTACATGAAACGAGATGAGAATAATATCAACACATTTATATACCTTGTGTAGATGTGCGAGAATTCAGTCTTGTTACCAATGAAAGTGGTCTTAAGTAGGCAAAACGTCTTGGACTCGTTGCAATATGTCTCATGGTAGGCCCAACCGCCAGGTTTTTAGCACTGTTTTTGTAGAAAAGAATTGGGCAGTGACCTTTATGGAAGATGACAGTAAAATGCAGCACATGTGGTAGCTTTTAGTGACCAGTCCCTAGCAGACAGTTGTGAAGAATTTACTGCTAAGTACAAGATACAAGAAGAGTGGCAGATCCCCTCCCAGTACAAAACAAGCCTGTTACCATTAACATATTAAGCATTGGATGAGGAAGTATATGAGAATAGGTGACTTGACTTCTGTCTTGGAATTTTCCATGCTTGACCCCTAGGTCAGATGGCGAAGGTGTGTACACAGGCTCGCAATATGGCGTCTTCATCTCTGCTCAAGAGATTTGATCGTACTGTAATCAATGATTCTCTTGATAACAAATACTAATACAGAAATACTTTGTAGTGCTTACTGTACTGTTAATCTTGACTTGATTTTAAAAGGAAACTTGTATTTTAACATGAATTGTGTTACTGAGAAAGGTAGATTAATTCTTCATATTGGAAGTATTTTCCCACCAAACCTCTACTGGAACGGTGCTTATTATGCAATCTATTTAACATAAGATATAAAATTATAATGTATGCGTGATCCACAGTGAAAACACTGTATGCAGATATATTAAGCCGGGCACTTGCTGTGTTGGACGACCGCCATTCATATCAAGGTTGTACAACTAATCCAACTCTGCTCTCTGCGTTGTGTCTAAAGCTAATTTCGTGGCATTCCACCCACCCTTATTGACCCTCTTTTCCATTCGTAAAATTCACTCTTATTATTTGGAGTTTACCAATGTTATCACCCACCCACCATTAAAATGTCTATCATCCACCTATAGTTTTCTACAGTTACAACCCTGCTTGGTTCACAGTAGAGCAATTCCCTGGAGGCAAATTGTTGCACAGTGTGTCAATAATTTATTATTAAATATTCTTAGCGAATCCTTTGCTACATCATATCTGTGTGAAGGGACCTCTGTGTAAAAATATTAAGCATTCATCCCTTACCATTCATTTGTGAATGTTCCAAATACAACAAACCGAGAAGAAATATAGGCCAAGGGTTAGATAAGGTTTGTATTAAAATTAAAAAACTTTTAGGAATTTGCTTGTGTGTACTGGTAGATGACGTTAATCTTGGTAGGAATATGGTGGGATGTCGGTGTAAAAAGAGTGTTCCATAAGCCAGTCAGAATCTGCCGATGTAAAATTTCCTGCCCATCCACATGTCATGAGAAGTACGGCTGTCCTTTCAATAATATCAAGTGTAATTAAAACCGATTCTTAAAATGTAAACAAACATCAACCTTGTTATAAGTCATATCAATGATGAACGATTATTCTTGATATGCTTTTATCTACCTTTGTAGCAATTACTGATTTGGAAAACAAATATTAACTTAAAAAAAACACTGAATATAGTCTTTTCTATGTAGTCATAGCACAGTAGTAAGTTTTATAATGGACTTTGGCTTGCTTTAGCCTAATCAGTAGTATAATTACATAAGGTTAAAATTGTATGACGCATTCTAAACGTATGGCTAATTCCCAGATTGTTTGTGTTAATTTTTAACTGAAAATATTATAGCAGGGTGGATTTTATTTTTTTAGTTTCTAGTAAAAATCTGTTTGTAATTAATTTAAAATTTCACCAACAGTATAACTACCAATAAATTATTATTTTTTATACTGTATAATATACTTGTGTGAGGTTGACAGTTTGTTAAAAATAATTTCTTCCCCATCCTGATGAAGTCTGCAACTGCTGAAACCAATATTGCTTATTTGTACCTGATACCAATTCATTTGACATGTCTAATCAAAACTTGTCTTATAGACAAAATACTGTACGTTTGGCACATAACTTATCAAACACAAAATATCTGATGCTGACTTTAGTATGCTGTAATAATACACCTTAAAAGAAGCATGTGCTAGCCTTAATATTGTGAACAGGTTAACAATTGATGCAGTGTATGTTGTGAAATATACAACAGCAAATTTTATATTGTACTACAGAAACAAGGTAGATCTAGTGTATACTGTGTTGCTAGGCCCACAACCCTCTGACCAGGTAACCGAGATTTCCTTAAGTAGATACCCTATGGGAGGCACAGGTGGTACCATGAGAAAAGTCCTTGTGGGGACCAGGGTGGAATCCCTTTGGAGCTAATACATATTAGCATATAATGTTGAATTGTATTTGGTTGATGGTTTTGTTGAAAACAGATGGGCTTGTATTTTGATTTCTCAAATGGTGATGCTCAGTAAAGGGGTTTAGCCAAACCAAAGAAACAATCCTGACTCTTCTTCCTTTATCTAAATGGAGGAAAGAGATGCACCTCAATGCATCATTGTTTTCCCCCACTATTTTGTCCGAATCCATATTTTTTATTCTCTTGTGGTCACCTACTCTGTTTTTAATGAAACCGGTTACAACAGTAACTTTCATAAGGATCTGTCTATACTATAAAATTTTATTTGACAAAAGCATGTGACATGGCTAAATATGGTCATGATGACATCACATCATGACCATATTTAAGCATGTCACATGTGTTTTTTTAAATAATATTTGGTAAGTCTGAACAGGGCTTTATATCAAAATGTATTAGATCTGTTGATTGAATGACAGTCATTGGTCAATAGAAAAGTTCCTATGATTATGTATTTTGATTCTAAAGCTATTATTAATTACATATGAATTTCAGCCAACTTAAAATATGATAGGTAGAACATGAAATGGTTGCTTGATCAGTGCTTATCACCATTTCAAGTTGCAGTGTGTTAAGTCACTTCGTACTCTCCATTTGGTGCTATCCAAAAAAATTCAGCTCAGCTTTCATCCTTGCACATCAAACAGTTGAGTGTAATCCTTTTTATGAAATGTACGTAATTTTCAAAGAGTTTTCAGCCTCGCGAGGCAGAATTCTCAAAATCTGCACAAAAGCAGATTTAACAAAGCAGAAGTTTCAATGTGCATTTGGATTCGCAATGCATAGTTTATACTAATGTGTACACATACAAATACAGCTTAGTTGAATCCGCTTCCGTGTAAGTTATGGAATGGAACTATTAGACTGGTGCGCAAGTCAGCAGATATTTGTTTGTATGCATCTTTTTTTAGCTGAGCTGGATTTTCCTGTACACTGGTATTTAGCATTGAAGTGCAGACATAGGGCCTATAAACACACACTAAATATGGATAGAAAATTAATTGATACAAGATATTAGTTTGGTGTGTTTTGTAAATAGAAAAAAAATGTCAGATACTATAAATCTAAATATTTCATTGTGATGTGCAGGTATATTTTTATATTTTGAATATTGAGGTTTGAAATGATGGTAGAGTTGAGAAACACTCTGGTGTTTGCGAGGCGTTTGCTTGTGTAAAGTTAGGGAATGAATAAAGCTGTTGTAGACATTCAGCTCCACAGTTGAACGAATTGACCTTTCCGGGGTGTCAATCAAACTTAAAAACTGACCAATCAGAGTAAGACCAGGAATACGCGCGTGTCCAAACACACGTGTTAACATACACTTGTTTTGTCGGACTTGCGCAGTATTAAGGAGCTTTCGATTGCATGACGACGATAGAACGTAATAACGTTACTAAAAGTCATCTACGCATGCGGGCGAGAACGTTAGGTTCTCCTCGTCGTGTGGATTCTTCTAGGACGCAATTTGCCCAAATCTACGAATAAAGCTACATTTACACTAGACTCGATAACGACATGACAACGACATACCATCGCGTTGTTTGTATTCTTCAACACTGCGTGCGTCGGTACAGTATTATATCATTGTCGTGTCGTAATCGTCTAGTGTAAATGTAACTTTAGAGAAATTAGGACGCCTGGTATGACGATCACGCATGAGTGATTCCGTTCTAACGTCGCGTCGTTGAACAAATCGAAAGCTCCCAATCATCCAAGGGGCGGGATTTAACGGAAAGGTCCATTAATCAGGAAACAATCATTAATCATAAATCATCAATCATCATTAATCAGGTTAACATTATTTCTTGGAAATGAAATGTTTACAAAGTTTAATGTGGAGAAAAACTCTGACATCATTGCAGAAAAAGTATTTAAGCTTCCATAAATAGTGTTCTCAGAAGTAACGCTTTACAGACCTTCCACTGGCTACAACCGTTTATAATTTCGAAGGTAATCGATTTATAAAATGCTAACAATTTATTAACTTATCCAATGAATTAACATGGGTTGTCCATAGTATTATGTTATAATAAATGCATTGGCCCGAGGAAGTTAATCTCGCTCAATTTTTTCAAGTATGCAAAAAAAGTAGGCCTATTTGTATTAAAACACATTGAATCTTAGTCTTCTTTGTCTACAATAACAATTGATGCAAAAAAAAATATATCTGTGATGATCTATATAATGGGCATGGTGACGTCATCACCCAGTTGTGTATCTACGTATATTGGCATTTGTGAATGGGGGTCGGGGTCGATCGGTAGTGCGGACAGTGGTGGAGGGGCTGTAAGATTGATTGATTGAGGGAGCCAGCTTGCAAAATTCATGTTAAACAACTGACTGATTAAATTACAAAAAAAAAAATATATAGACTAATATTCATTCAACATCTAAAAAAAAATAAAAAAATTGTGAAAACTGTAAAATACAGACATTCAGACTATTTTATTTTATTTTTTTTATTTTATTTTACTATTTTATTTTATTTTATTTCGCTTGATTGAGGGTGATGTTGGTGATGGTGATAATCATAATCGTGTATAAGGAATTCGTTCACTCAGTAGCCTCCCCGCCCCTCTC